CTAACAAAAATAGATGCTAAATTACCTATAATCTAAAAATCTTTTTTTTTTCTTTTTAACAAGTCGGCTGTCTCCCACTGAGGCAGGGTGACCCAAAAAGAAAGAAAACCCCCCAAAAAGAAAATACTTTCATCATTCAACACTTTCACCTCACTCACACATAATCACTGTTTTTGCAGAGGTGCTCAGAATACAACAGTTTAGAAGCATATACGTATAAAGATACACAACATATCCCTCCGAACTGCCAATATCCCAAACCCCTCCTTTAAAGTGCAGGCATTGTACTTCCCATTTCCAGGACTCAAGTCTGGCTACATAAAAATAAACGGTTTCTCTGAATCCCTTCACTAAATGTTACCCTGCTCACACTCCAACAGCTTGCCAGGTCCCAAATACCATTCGTCTCCATTCACTCCTAACACGCTCACACACGCTTGCTGGAAGTCCAAGCCCCTCTCCCACAAAACCTCCTTTACTTCCTCCCTCCAACCTTTTCAAGGACGACCCCTACCCCACCTTCCTTCCCCTACAGATTTATACGCTCTCCATGTCATTCTACTTTGATCCATTCTCTCTAAAGGACCAAACAACCTCAACAACCCCTCTTCAGCCCTCTGACTAATACTTTTATTAACTCCAAACCTTCTCCTAATTTCCACATTCCGAATTTTCTGCATAATATTTACACCACACATTGCCCTTAGACAGGACATCTCCAGTGCCTCCAACCGCCTCCTCGCTGCAGCATTTACAACCCAAGCTTCAAACCCATATAAGAGTGTTGGTACTACTATACTTCCATACATTCCCTTCTTTGCCTCCATAGATAACGTTTTTTGTCTCCACATATACCTCAATGCACCACTCGCCTTTTTTCCTTCATCAATTCTGTGATTAACCTCATCCTTCATAAATCCATCCGCTGACACGTCAACTCTCAAATACGTATCTGAAAACATTAACTTCTTCCATACTCCTCCCCAATTTGATATCCAATTTTTCTTTATCTAAATCATATGATACCCTCATCACCTTACTCTTTTCTATGTTCACTTTCAACTTTCTACCTTTACACACATTAAAGACAAGACTGTAGGTTGCAGCCATGCTTCTCTTGTTTACATTACCCAGGTGCTGTATGAACCCTATGGACTTAGCACTTCCCCCTGATTATAATAATAATTCCTTTATATAGTATTCCTGCAAGATTACTCTTCAAAATATTTTTTTTATAGTACTTTACTGTATGCATTCTGTTTAACTTCATTTTGCACATGACCTAAAGGTGTTTGAACAGGGAAAATTTCAAAATACTGTACTAGAAAATTCTGCCATTATGGCAATACCTCCAGGGGCATGAGTTTTATGACACATTGCCAAAAACAATTTTTTATATTCAAAACCTTTTTATTTTACCCTCATTATACACACAATGTGTCGGAAGAAGGTATGCAAACATGCTCATTTTCACAGTAATTTTTCCTTTAAGTGATCATTTGGGTTTGTACCTGCTAAGTTCTGAAAGTTCTGAGTATAGTACTGTACTGCTTATTGATAAACAAAAATAGTTGACCCCTGCAGGACATAATTTCAAGTAAAATTTTTTTAGAAGTCCAAAGGCTTTTCCATTTATATAATAACCTCTCATACTCACTTGCTAGGGTTGTTGCCTGCTTGCTAAGAATGCAAGGCTTGTTCTACAGCACTTGTTTGGATCTGTGCTCCAGTTCCCCAAATTAAGCCTGAATGCCTTCCACATCCCCCCCCCCAGGCGCTGTATAATCCTCCGGGTTTAGCGCTTCCCCCTTGATTATAATAATAATAATACAGCACTTGTTACTGATTTTTTTTTTTTGCAAGAAACCAAGTGAAAGAAGCAAGACAATACATTTAATGTTTTTTTTTTTCCCATTTCACAATGCATTACAATTTACCCAGTACATGTATATACAAATCCAAAAGCAGCAAGTGATAACATTGCAGTGGTGCAAATAAAAGCATTACTGTAGATAAAGATGTCTTTGCTGTGTTGATACAGGTGGAAAAGAATGTGACATCACAAAACATCTTGGCCTTGCTAAATTAACAGTACAGTATACACTATCTTGTGTAAACAAAATATAATTACATTAAGTGTTGAGCATGCAAACCCTGTTGCTGCTGCTATAGTATTGGCAGACAAAATAAGTATTTAGAAGCTATGGAAAGGCTTTTCAGTATGTGGGTTGAGCACTAGACCCAATAATACATGACAGTTAACATAATGGTTATCCAGAGAAGGTCTCAAGTTTAAAAATTGAAAACAAAAAGTGAAACTACTCAACACACTACTATTAAGGAAGGGTTGACAGGTTCAAGACTTGGCAGTGTTCACAACCTCACACTGAGTGGTGAGGCTGCAGTAAAGCCTCACAGTCAACCACTTTGTAAACTCAAGAGTTATGAAGCACATTAAAAAAGATTTTGTTGTGACAAATGTGCATAATAACCAGCAATTTAATGGACTGATTTAAATCCTATTTTTGCCCTGCTATTAAAAATACTGTACTGAAAACACTTGCCCAAAAGGCATTACTGCTCACTGATAAGGCAACAATGCATCTAGTTAGGTGAATGACATTTGCAAACCTTATATCCTTAGCTTCAATTTGACTAATTTTTTTGTTAGGTCATTCAAGTAATCTATTTTTAGGAAAACGTCTCCAAACCTATAAGAGACATTTAATAAAGAGGTCAAGGCAACAATCAAGGAATTCTGGAGAAAATATATCACATACAACATCAGTATCAATGATGAATCCTGGAATGAAATCACGGTTCCCAAAGTGAACAAAAAATGTGACCTGCATCTCTTAATGATTTTGTCAATAAAATCCATTCCATAAAAGGCTACAATGAGGAGTTAATGTAGCTTAAAGAGCAAACAAAGTCAGAAAAGGATAAGAAGTCAAGGAAAACCTTGGTTTACTGTTGCAAATAATTTTAAAAAGGATTCAATGTTATAAAGATGATACAGGAATTCTAAAAATCATCCCATCTGCATACCACAGTACATACAGCCTTATCCGCAACACTCGCCCATGGCTTCAGCTGCTATAAGACAGTGTAGAAAAACAGTGCTGAGCGAAATAGCCATCACTCAAGACACACTTTAGGATTACACTGTCCAACAGTGATTACAGTTCACGTTTTAAAACTTATGTGTTTAATTAACTTTTAGTACCCTGAATTCAAGTCTTAGCTTAGCTTTGCTCCAGCACGTAGTTTCTGTAAAATAGAACCCCACAACGAATGATTTCATTAAAACAGCCATCACAGAGAAGGGATATCAGAGAAATCAGATTATGAGTTTGATGGTCACTGGACACTGATGTGGGAAAGTGGTACTGAACACAAGTGAAGAAGCCTGAAAACTGTGATGTAAATACGGTCGAATGACCGAATGGAAATTTCATTATTTTTGTTATGCATATACAGTATATACAATAAAGTGAATTTATATTAAGAAAGATTACTTCTGTCATTGCATGAATTATGCTTAATATCTATACATAATATGTATATATACAGTGTAACCTCAGTTGTCAAACTTAATTCATTCCAGATGTCGGTTCAACAACCAAAATGGATGACAACCAAAGCAATTTTTCCCATAAAGAATATTTTTATTTTTATTTTTTTTTTTTATTATCACACTGACCTATTCCCACCAAGGCAGGGTGGCCCAAAAAAGAAAAACTTTCACCATCATTCACTCTATCACTGTCTTGCCAGAAGGGTGGTTTACACTACAGTTTTTAAACTGCAACATTAACACCCCTCCTTCAGAGTGCAGGCACTGTACTTCCCATCTCCAGGACTCAAGTCCGGCCTGCCGGTTTCCCTGAACCCCTTCATAAATGTTACTTTGCTCACACTCCAACAGCACATCAAGTATTAAAAACCATTTGTCTCCATTCACTCCTATCAAACACGCTCACGCATGCCTGCTGGAAGTCCAAGCCCCTCGCACACAAAACCTCCTTTACCCCCTCAATCCAACCTTTCCTAGGCCGACCCCTACCCCGCCTTCCTTCCACTACAGACTGATACACTCTTGAAGTCACTCTGTTTCGCTCCATTCTCTCTACATGTCCGAACCACCTCAACAACCCTTCCTCAGCCCTCTGGACAACAGTTTTGGTAATCCCGCACCTCCTCTTAACTTCCAAACTACGAATTCTCTGCATTATATTCACACCAAACATTGCCCTCAGACATGACATCTCCACTGCCTCCAGCTTTCTCCTCGCTGCAACATTCATCACCCATGCTTCACACCCATATAAGAGCGTTGGTAAAACTATACTCTCATACATTCCCCTCTTTGCCTCCAAGGACAAGGTTCTTTGTCTCCACAGACTCCTAAGTGCACCACTCACCCTTTTCCCCTCATCAATTCTATGATTCACCTCATCTTTCGTAGACCCATCCGCTGACACGTCCACTCCCAAATATCTGAATACATTCACCTCCTCCATACTCTCTCCCTCCAATCTGATATCCAATCTTTCATCACCTAATCTTTTTGTTATCCTCATTACCTTACTCTTTCCTGTATTCACTTTTAATTTTCTTCTTTTGCACACCCTACCAAATTCATCCACCAACCTCTGCAGCTTCTCTTCAGAATCTCCCAAGAGCACAGTGTCATCAGCAAAGAGCAACTGTGACAACTCCCACTTTGTGTGTGATTCTTTATCTTTTAACTCCATGCCTCTTGCCAAGACCCTCACATTTACTTCTCTTACAACCCCATCTATAAATATATTAAATAACCACGGTGACATCACACATCCTTGTCTAAGGCCTACTTTTACTGGGAAATAATTTCCCTCTTTCCTACATACTCTAACTTGAGCCTCACTATCCTCGTAAAAACTCTTCACTGCTTTCAGTAACCTACCTCCTACACCATACACCTGCAACATCTGCCACATTGCCCCCCTATCCACCCTGTCATACGCCTTTTCCAAATCCATAAATGCCACAAAGGCCTCTTTAGCCTTATCTAAATACTGTTCACTTATATGTTTCACTGTAAACACCTGGTCCACACATCCCCTACCTTTCCTAAAGCCTCCTTGTTCATCTGCTATCCTATTCTCCGTCTTACTCTTAATTCTTTCAATAATAACTCTACCATACACTTTACCAGGTATACTCAACAGACTTATCCCCCTATAATTTTTGCACTCTCTTTTGTCCCCTTTGCCTTTATACAAAGAATAATGTAAATAAAATTAATCCGTTCCAGACCCCAAATGACAATATAATAATTTATTAAAAATATACTAAATACTACATAAAGACTGTAAAAATGAATACTAAAAGAAACTTTAACTGAAATACTGTACAGTAAATGAAAATTTAACTGCCTCTTACCTGTCAGAGGAAAGCTAATGGCATACTGGAAGGAGGAGGTGAAGGAGAGGAGGGAGGCATGTTACTGCTTGGAAGGACAGTCACCTGTCTTTCATTGGCTTGTGTCCTGGCATTGACTTTTCCTCTTCAGTCATGCAGGTCCTCTTGGGCATTTTCTCTCTTGTTGTGGGAGAAATCCCTCAACATCTATGCATGCAGGAGTCTCAGTAAAAAGTGCTGAGTCAGCAAGACGTAGGCGGCTCTATAAAATGTTGTATAATTATGCTATTATTAGGAAGAAAGTATACCTACCTATCACATTTATTTGAAAATTATATCAACTATAAGAGAAATAACATAGAAGCATAATAAAGACAGGCAAATTAATAAAAAAAACATACAAAGGTGGGTAGTGGAGCAGTGAAGCACGGAGGGATATTTACCACACTCACGTATCGTTCTCTCTTGTCCCTCTGGGTCCTTTACTATTACAGAAAACATATACAGCCTCTCCTCACTTAGCGATGTACTTGTTTACCAACGCCTCGGACTTACGATGGGCTCTCTGACCAGTATTCATACCTAAATTATGTACATACATGTATATCAGAGATGATTTCCTCTATTCTGTTTATTTCAATATACAGTACACTACTGTATAAGCATTTAAAAATATACCACAAATGTTTATAAATGGTGCAAAGGTGACATTAAAATAATATCAAAGATGGTTGACAGAAACTCACTACTATTATAGTATGCTCCTCACTTAGCGACGAATTCGTTTAACGACATGGTCTTAGGAATGGAACTCTGTTGTTAAGTGAGGAGAGGCTGTATAGCACTGGGGTAACTATGTTAGATCACCTACATCGTATGTAGAGACTGAAAAACCGCAATTTTGTTGATTTTTTTCCCCCCAAGTAATCAGCTATGTGTGCGTTTCCTAGAATATCTCTGAAGTTACTGCCCTATTTCTTGTTGTACTACCGTTAATAATGAATGAACTGAAAGAATTTCCACAACAAACATAAAACAATAAATATTTTACAACTTTTCTTTTTGTTTTCATCTTTCTATCCTTTTTTGGATCCATGATGGCTTATCTCCCAATAAAAAAAATTGCACCAAAACCACAAAATAACAAAAAATTCACAAGATTCACAGCAAGAGCTGAAGAGATGCTCACAGCACATGCATTAGTTGCTAACTTACCGAGACCCACGCTGTGGACTCTTTGTCTGGTGATCACGTGATCTGAGCATTGACAGTCGACAACCAAGTGCACGCAGGAAAACCAGGACATTTTTTTCTCAAATTCCTTGTTCAAAGACCGATTTGTTCGACGAGTAGTGCATTAGACAACCGAGGTTCTGCTGTATATACTATATATTTTATGTATAGAGCTGTCTTTTTTTTTCAACAAACCAGCCGTATCCCACCAAGGCAGGGTGGCCCGAAAAGAAAAACAAAAGTTTCTCTTCATAACTTTAGTAATGTAGTATACAGGAGAAGGGGTCACTAGCCCCTTGCTCCCGGCATTTTAATCGCCTCTTACAACACACATGGCTTACAGTGGAAGAATTCTGTTCCACTTCACCATGGAGAATTATGTATAGATATATTAATATATATCATGTGGTTTTTCAACCTTAAATAGCTGAAATACTGATCATAAGACTTCAAAAAACTTTACACGATAGAGACTAAACAAGCTCAGATTTACAATCAATGCGTAAGAGTAGCTTAAAACAACCAATTTGGTTTCTGAACTGGATAAAAAGTTAAAATTTTGCTAGATAATGTTATTAGTCTACATTCATGATACATCCAGTTAGCAAAGAGGAACCCTTTACAAGTCATATATAATTTCTGTGTCCCCAGCAACATTCTCTCCTCATCTGATTACCCTTCTCACTAATTCTCTCTTTAAATTTTGTTGAACCTACCTCAATCTCTTTCCTCAATTAATTCTTACCCAACTTTCTTCCTCCCACATATGTATACATATATGTACTGCTGCTGGCTTCACTGAACACCAGTACATCTCTCTTAAACATCAAACCTAAAAAAAAAGAGCACACTATATAAACAATGTTCAATTTGAAATATGCAATTACGAGGGTTTTACAAAGGCACCTTGATGATGTAACTTATTTCAGCTACTGTCTAATAACAGTTTTTGCATTTTAAATGGGGCTTACTATGCTTTCTGTGCTGATTTTCTGATCATTATTACCAGGTGATTCTTTAAGTTGCATCCCTTTTGAAGAAGGTTGTACTAACTGCTTTTGAAGCATCCATACTGAATGTCTTGGATCTTTTGATTTTAGCCGTGGACACTGGAAAGTAGTAAAAAGAATAAAAAATATGACTAAAATACATTGCAATATTTCATTTTTGTACCCTGCAGTAAAAACAAAATACAGTGGAACCTCGGCTTATGAGTTTAATCTGTTCCATGACCTAGCTCGTAACTCAATTTGCTTGTATGTCAAATCGATTTTCCTCATTTAAATTAAATGAAATGCCATTAATCTGTTCCAGTGGAATTCCTGCTCTCGGGAGGCAGGACAAAATGCTTCAATACAACGCTAATATCAACTCTACGGCTTATTTATCTATTACAATTCATGTAATATGACATAATAAACAATATAAATAACATAGAAACATGATACATACTCTAGAATGAATAAAATACAGGTGCACATCCCTTTATCTGAAACCCATGGGGCCTGTACTGTTTCAAACTTGAGACTTTTTCGAATTTCAGAATGATTTTCAATGCCGCCAAGTGGTGGCGTGACCCAGCACAGAGATGACTGACACTCCACACTCAATGAAAGAACTTCAGTTTTCAGAACTTGTCAAATTTCAGAATTTTCAGATAAAGGGATGTGGACCTGTATGTCATTATGTGACTAGTGGTGGCGGCCATTCCCGCTCCTGCTCTGACCACATCTTCCCATGCTCTTATTATAAGAGAAAATGGAGTGTTTGCGAGGCTAACTGCACTAGGTCACTAGTTTCATAAGGAAAACACTGAAACAATGTATTTATAAATAAAAAATATTGTATAAAGACATAATAAAACATAATAGAGAATGTAAAGAAATAAACTGGTTAAAGTGTACGTACACACTAGTGGTGGCGTTCTGAAGCTCGCTCGTTATTATTATTATTATTATTATTATTAATATTATTATTATTATTATTATTAGGTTTCTTGATGCTGGTGAGGGGCTCTTGATCTATGGAATTGGATCTGTGCTCCAGTTCCCTAAATTAATAATAATATTAATAATAATGAGCAAGCTTCAGTTCCCTTTATAATAATAATAATAATAATAATAATAATAAGGAGCTTCAGAATGCCGCCAACTCAGTGCACTGTTTACCTTGCCATGGAAGCATTTCTCTTATGTTTTGCTTGCATTTTGTGCAGTTATTTTGCCAAATTCTTTTTTTTTAACCATGGGTTCTAAGAAAGTAAGTGCAGAGGACAGTGCTGAGAACAAAAAGAGGATGATGTCCGTGGAATTAAAGCATAAAATCACAGATAAACAATTGTGGTGTGCGGGTTGAGGGGGAAGCGGGGAAAGCTCACTCATAACTCAGAACAAAATATTGACCGAGCGACTGCTCGTATCTCGAAAAACTCGTATGTTGGGACACTCGTAAGTCGAGGTTCCACTGTACTAAAAAATTAACACATGACTGACAGTAACCTTAAGCACACAGCACAAGTATGAGAAATTTTGGACAAGTGTAAAGTCTGTTAAAGGTCTACAAATCTTACATAAAGAAGAAACGAATATAAATGGCAGTTTACATGTGAATGTGTATAGTATACAGGCATAGTAGATCACTTAACCTTGATTGCCCTCTGAAGTACTACCATTGCTGGAGCAGGACAGCCTATGCAAAATTGGATAAAATCAACTAATCTACCACCTTGAGTGAGTTATTGTAGCATTTATACAATACTCCACAGTTAACATCAATCAGAATGTCAGACCAGGGATTAAATTATTGTAATTAATATAACAAGTATTACACTTGCTGAATGACCTATGTGTTTAGTGCTGTTTGTAAGCATAATTATAAAAATGGGAGCAAGGGGATAGTAACTACTTCTCCTGTATAAATTACTACTAGATATAAAAAGAAGAAAAACTTTCATTTCTTCTTTTTCAGGTCACCCTGCCTTGGTGGGAGATGGCTGGTGTGTTAAAAAGAATTATAATATGAATAAGTACAGTACAGTGTGTCTGTATATCAAATTACGTAAGTCCATTATATCCAATTACAATACAGTACCACAAAACATACCTGACAAGCATCTCGAAGCATAATAGCCTCAGACATCTGTAAATCTATCATCTCTTGGCGGTCAGTGTGTGATGGGTGTGTCGATAACCATGCAGGTTCCTTTACTGCTTCACCACGTGCTTCCCGTAGTTTATCTATTATGGACATCTTACCCCAGAATGCACTGGCTTCTCGTACATCATAGCAAGCCTAAGAGAAAATTCTCTTGCTCACTACTGGGTGAAAATTATTCATAAAATAACAGCATTTAAAGTAAGTTCATTTGATCAAGGTAGGATAACCCAGAGGTTAACATTTTCACCATCACTCATTCTCTAGCTATCTTTCTAACAATGCTTGGCCATCACACCAAATAACCCTCTAAACTCCAACATTCCCACCCCATCCTTTAGAGTGCAAGTACAGTATTCTTTCCCTAGAGAATCAAATGAGTCAAGCTCATGTCTTAAGTTCCCAGGAAAATAGCAACGAATTGCCTAAGTTTCAACTTGATCAGTGATTGTTTCTCTTCTAAATGTGTAGAAATAACTGTTGTCCAACACCTGAAACACTTAGCTGCACTCCTTAAAGAAAGCCTTTTTTATGCAAATACTGTACTGCACTGTAGTACGTACAATGTATACCTGGAAGTGATATGGAATAATTTTTGTTTTCTAAGATGTGTTAATACCTTTCTTTCTATGCTGCCTTTCAAATAAAAGGTATTGGAAAACAAAATTTGTGACCTTACCTTGGCAGCTACTTGTAATCCAACAAAATCAGCTTCATTTTCTAAAATTCTTGAGTAGGGCAGCTGAAGCAAAACTTGGATGACTTGATTTAAAAACCAGTGTGTAACTACTGCCAGGCCATCACTAGGAATAAAAGCCCAAATTACTGCCAGGGGTACAAGAATCAGCATGTCTAGAAGGTACCCATGACTAAGTAGTTCTGCCTGTAGAAGTAAATAATAAAAAAATTATTAAATATATACATGTATAAGTATATATGTGAAAACTGTCTTAAATGAACTCAGGTAAGATTAAAAGCTCCAGTCTAGAGAATATTTGGTTTATGGAGTGACTTTGTATGAATTTTTTTAATATTAACTAGGCACATAAATCATATTACAGTATAGGGGTTATTTTGATACCAACTATCAACACAATCTGAGAACAATTAATTCAATTCAATTCAATTCAATTCAAAGTTTATTCTCTGTAAGGATTACAATGCTGAGTTCCCAGACTAATTAAAGAGTCTACCACATGTTCATTATATAACCATATACCAAAAAATAGATGCATTTGATAACAGAATGCCTGCAGATTAAAATGAACATGAATCATGAAAAATATTCAGCATTTATACTTATCTTAGCCAGGATGAAATTTTATTGCACAGTAACCCTTTCTTTTGTGGCAAAGAAATTTAGTTGCAAGGTTTTTACATACTGTACTGTGTATTTTCTTTTTATTAACACATTGGCTGTTTCCCACCAAGATAGGGTGACCCGAAAAAGAAGAATCACTTTCATCATCATTCATTCCATCACTGTATTACCATAATAATTCTATATAGTAAATACATAAACCCTTTCACTGCCTCTCACATAGATCTACATTACTGAGGCCAGTGGGGCTCACACAGATTTACATTTTAATCATAAAATCCTCAAAAGAGCTGAGCAATAAATTTTAACCTAGACATGACAGAATGGGTCTGTGTGGTGATTATTTTTATTATTATCACACCGGCCGATTCCCACCAAGGCAGGGTGGCCCGAAAAAGAAAAACTTTCACCATCATTCACTCCATCACTGTCTTGCCAGAAGGGTGCTTTACACTACAGTTTTTAAACTGCAACATTAACACCCCTCCTTCAGAGTGCAGGCACTGTACTTCCCATCTCCAGGACTCAAGTCCGGCCTGCCGGTTTCCCTGAATCCCTTCATAAATGTTACTTTGCTCACACTCCAACAGCACGTCAAGTATTAAAAACCATTTGTCTCCATTCACTCCTATCAAACACCTCACGCATGCCTGCTGGAAGTCCAAGCCCCTCGCACAACAAACCTCCTTTACCCCCTCCCTCCAACCCTTCCTAGGCCGACCCCTACCCGCCTTCCTTCCACTACAGACTGATACACTTTGAAGTCATTCTGTTTCGCTCCCTTCTCTCTACATGTCCGAACCACCTCAACAACCCTTCCTCAGCCCTCTGGACAACAGTTTTTGGTAATCCCGCACCTCCTCCTAACTTCCAAAATACGAATTCTCTGCATTATATTCACACCACACATTGCCCTCAGACATGACATCTCCACGCCTCCAGCCTTCTCCTCGCTGCAAAAAATTCATCACCCACGCTTTCACACCCCCTTTTAAGAGGTTGGTAAAAATATACTCTCATACATTCCCCTCTTTGCCTCCAAGTACAAAGTTCTTTGTCTCCACAGACTCCTAAGTGCACCACTCACTCTTTTTCCCTCATCAATTCTATATTCACCCTCCCTTTTTAGACCCCACCGCTACAGTCCACTCCCAAAAATCTGAATACTTTTACCTCCTCCAACTCTCTCCCTCCAATTTTTAACAATCTTTCATTCAACTAAACTTTTTGTTATCCTCATAACCCTTACTTTTCCTGTATTCACCTTAAAATTTTCTTCTTTTGCACACCCACCAAATTCACCCACCAATCTCTGAAACTTCTTTTCGAATTCCCAAGACACGTGTCATCAGCAAAGAGCACTGTGACAACTCCCACTTTGTGTGTGATTCTTTTTTTTTAACCCACGCCTTTTGAAGCCCTCGCATTTACTTCTTTACAACCCCATCTATAATATATTAAAAAACCCACGGTGACATCACAATCCTTGTCTAAGGCCTATTTTAAACGGGAAAAAAATTTCCCCTTTCCACATACTCAAATTTGAGCCCTATCCTCGTAAAAACTTTTCACTGCTTTCAGAAACCCTACTCTACACCATACACTTGAACATTGCCACATTGCCCCCTACCCACCTTCATACGCCTTTTCCAAACCTAAATGCCACAAAGACCTCTTTACCTTATCTAAATATGTTCATTATTGTTTAAATGTAAACCCCGGTCCCACACCCCTCCCTTTCCCTAAAGCCCCTTGTTTTGCATCCTATTCCCCTTTTACTCTTAATTCTTTCAATTAAAACTCTACCATACACTTTACCGGTACACTAAACGACTTTTTTTTTTTTTTTTTTTTTTTTTCCCCCCAAAAATTTCCCTTCCCCAAAAAAAGGGGGGGGAAAAAAAGGGGGGGGGGGGGGGGGGGGGGGGGGGTTTTTTTAAAAACCCCCCACTCGACATTATCCTTTTTTTCAGAGGTGCCAGAATAAAAACCATCTAGAAGCATAAACATATAAAGATACACAACATATCCCCAAATGCCAATATCCAAAACCCCCCCTTTTAAAAGTGCGGGCTTTGGGACTTCCTTTTCCGGGACTCAAGCCCGACTATATGAAAAAAACCGGTTTCCCTGAACCCTTTTCACTAATATTACCCGCTCACACTCCAACAGATCGTCAGGTCCCAAGTACCATTCTCTCCATTCACTCCTATTAACACGCTCCGCCGTTTCTGGAACCAAGCCCCCTTTCCCCCAAAAACCCCCTTTACCCCCTCTTCCAACCCTTTTGGGACGCCCCACCCCCCCTTCCTTCCCCCATAGATTTTTATGCTTTCCAGTCTTTACTGTGATCCTTCTCTCAAAAAGACCCAAAACCCCTCAACAACCCCCCTTTTTGCCCCCTGACTAATACTTTTTTAAATCCCCACCTTTCTCCTAATTTTCCCACTCCGAATTTTCTGCATAAAAATTTTCACCCACATTGCCCCTTAAACAGGACTCTCCCCTGCCTCCAACCCTTCCTCCGGCTGCATTTACCACCCAAACTTCACACCCTAAGAGGTTGGGACTACTATACTTCATACTTCCCTTCTTTGCCTCCATAGATAACGTTTTTTGACTCCAATATACCTCAACGCACCACCACCTTTTTTCCCCCTCAATTCAGATTAACCTCATCCCTTTATAAATCCTCCGCCCACACGTCAATCCCCAATTTTTGAAAACTTCATTCTTCCAATCCTCCCCCCAAATTTTTTATCCCAAATTTTTTTTTAAACTAAATCATTTGACACCCCCATCACCTTATCTTTTTCTATGGTTTACTTTTAACTTTTACCTTTACAAACCCTTCCCAAATCATCCACTAACCTTTGCAATTTTTTTTTTAGAATTCCCAAAGCCAGTTCTCACAAAAAGTAACTGGTCAAATTTCCCCTTTTGAATTTGATTCCCCCCTAAAATTTAAACCCCCCCTCCCCAAACACCCTAGCATTTACTTCCTTTACAACCCCCTTAAAATTATTAAACAACCCTGGTGACATTTCACATCCTGTCTAAGCCTACTTTTTACCGGGAAGTAGTCTCCCTCCTTCTACACACCCCAACCTGAGCCCACTTCCTCATAAAAACTCTTTTCAGATTTAAAACTTTCCCCTTTCCATAACTTTCAAAATCTGCCACATTGCTCCCCTATCCCCCTTCATATGCCTTTTCAAAACCCTAAAGCAATAAAAACTTCCCACTTTTTCAAATACTGTTACAATTGCTTCAATGTAAACCCCGATCTACACATCCCCTACCACCAAAATCCTTTCATCCGCAATCCTACATTCTGTCTTACCCCTAATTCTTTCAATTATAACCCTACCGTACACTTTTCCTGGTATACTCAGTAAGCTTATTCCTCTATAATTTTTACAGTCTCTTTTGTCCCCTTTCCCTTTATATAAAGGGACTATACATGCTCTCTGCCAATCCCTAGGTACCTTCCCCTCTTTCATACATTTATTAAACAAAAGTACAACCACTCCAACACTATATCCCCCCCTGCTTTTAACATTTCTGTCATGATCCCATCAGTTCCAGCTGCTTTACCCACCTTTCATTTTACGTAATGCCTCACGTACCTCCCCCACACTTACATTCTGCTCTTCTTCACTCCTAAAGATGGTATACCTCCCTGACCAGTGCATGAAATTACTGCCTCTGTTTCTTCCTTAACATTTAAAAGTTCCTCAAAATATTCTCGCCATCTTCCCAATACCTCCATCTCCCCATCTACTAACTCCCCTACTCTGTTTTTAACTGACAAATCCATATTTTTCCCTAGGCTTTCTTAATTGTTTAACTCACTCCAAAATTTTTTCTTATTTTCATTAAAATTTCTTGACAGTGCCTCTCCCACTCTATCATCTGCTCTCCTTTTGCACTCTCTCACCACTCTCTTTACCTTTCTTTTACTCTCCATATACTCTGCTCTTCTTATAACACTTCTGCTTTGTAAAAACTCTCATAAGCTACCTTTTTCTCTTTTATCACACCCTTTACTTCATCATTCCACCAATCACTCCTCTTTCCTCCTGCCCCCACCCTCCTATAACCACAAACTTCTGCCCCACATTCTAATACTGCATTTTTAAAACTATTCCAACCCTCTTCAACCCCCCACTACTCATCTTTGCACTAGCCCACCTTTCTGCCAATAGTCGCTTATATCTCACCCGAACTTCCTCCTCCTTATTTATACACTTTCACCTCCCTCTTACTTGTTGTTGCCACCTTCCTCTTTTCCCATCTACCTCTTACTCTAACTGTAGCTACAACTAAATAATGATCCGATATATCAGTTGCCCCTCTATAAACATGTACATCCTGGAGCCTACTCATCAACCTTTTATCCACCAATACATAATCTAATAAACTACTTTCATTACGTGCTACATCATACCTTGTATATTTATTTATCCTCTTTTTCATAAAATATGTATTACTTATTACCAAATTTCTTTCTACACATAGCTCAATTAAAGGCTCCCCATTTACATTTACCCCTGGCACCCCAAATTATACTACTACTCCCTCCATAACATTTTTACCCACTTTAGCATTAAAATCCCCAACCACCATTACTCTCACACTTGATTCAAAACTCCCCACGCATTCACTCAACATTTCCCAAAATCTCTCTCTCTCCTCTACACTTCTCTCTTCTCCAGGTGCATACACGCTTATTATAACCCACTTTTCACATCCAATCTTTATTTTACTCCACATAATCCTTGAATTAATACATTTATAGTCCCTCTTTTCCTGCCATAGCTTATCCTTCAACATTATTGCTACTCCTTCTTTAGCTCTAACTCTATTTGAAACCCCTGACTTATCCCCCTATAATTTTTGCACTCTCTTTTATCCCCTTTGCCTTTATACAAAGGAACTATGCATGCTCTCTGCCAATCCCTAGGTACCTTACCCTCTTCCATACATTTATTAAATAATTGCACCAACCCACTCCAAAACTATATCCCCACCTGCTTTTAACATTTCTATCTTTATCCATCAATCCCGGCTGCCTTACCCCTTTCATTTTACCTACTGCCTCACGAACTTCCCACACACTCACAACTGGCTCTTCCTCACTCCTACAAGATGTTATTCCTCTTGCCCTATACACGAAATCACAGCTTCCTATCTTCATCAACATTTAACAATTCCTCAAAATATTCCTTCCATCTTCCCAATACCTCTAACTCTCCATTTAATAACTCTCCTCTCCTATTTTTAACTGACAAAATCCATTTGTTCTCTAGGCTTTCTTAAACTTGTTAATCTCACTCCAAAACTTTTTCTTATTTTCAAACAAAAATTTGTTGATAACATCTCACCCACTCTCTCATTTGCTCTCTTTTACATTGCTTCACCACTCTCTTAACTTCTCTCTTTTTCTCCATATACTCTTCCCTCCTGGCATCACTTCTACTTTGTAAAAACTTCTCATATGCTAACTTTTTCTCCCTTACTACTCTCTTTACATCATCATTCCACCAATCGCTCCTCTTCCCCTGCACCCACTTTCCTGTAACCACAAACTTCTGCTGAACACTCTAACACTACATTTTTAAACCTACCCCATACCTCTTCGACCCATTGCCTATGCTCTCATTAGCCCATCTATCCTCCAATAGCTGTTTATATCTTACCCTAACTGCCTCTCTTTTAGTTTATAAACCTTCACCTCTCTCTTCCCTGATGCTTCTATTCTCCTTGTATCCCATTCTACCTTTTACTCTCAGTGTAGCTACAACTAGAAAGTGATCTGATATATCTGTGGCCCCTCTATAAACATGTACATCCTGAAGTCTACTCAACAGTCTTTTATCTACCAATACATAATCCAACAAACTACTGTCATTTCGCCCTACATCATATCGTGTATACTTATTTATCCTCTTTTTCTTAAAATATGTATTACCTATAACTAAACCCCTTTCTATACAAAGTTCAATCAAAGGGCTCCCATTATCATTTACCCTGGCACCCCAAACTTACCTACCACACCCTCTCTAAAAGTTTCTCTACTTTAGCATTCAAGTCCCCTACCACAATTACTCTCTCACTTGGTTCAAAGGCTCCTATACATTCACTTAACTCTCCCAAAATCTCTCTCTCTCCTCTGCATTCCTCTCTTCTCCAGGTGCATACACGCTTATTATGACCCACTTCTCGCATCCAACCTTTACTTTAATCCACATAATTCTTGAATTTACACATTCATATTCTCTTTTCTCCTTCCATAACTGATCATTTAACATTACTGCTACCCCTTCCTTTGCTCTAACTCTCTCAGATACTCCAGATTTAATCCCATTTATTTCCCCCCACTGAAACTCTCCTACCCCCTTCAGCTTTGTTTCGCTTAGGGCCAGGAAAATCCAACTTCTTTTCATTCATAACATCAGCAATCATCTGTTTCTTGTCATCCGCACTACATCCACGCACATTTAAGCAAACCCAGTTTTATAAAGTTTTTCTTCTTCTCTTTTTTAGTAATTGTATACAGGAGAAGGGGTTACTAGCCCATTGCTCCCGGCATTTTAGTCGCCTCATACGACACGCATGGCTTACGGAGGAAAGATTCTTTTCCACTTCCCCATGGACAATAGAAGAAATAAAAAAGAACAAGAGCTATTTAGAAAAAGGAGAAAAACCTAGATGTATGTATATATATATATGCATGTGCGTGTCTGTGAAGTGTGACCAAAGTGTAAGTAGGAGTAGCAAGATATCCCTGTTATCTTAGCGTGTTTATGAGACAGAAAAAGAAACCAGCAATCCTACCATCATGCAAAACAGTTACAGGTTTTTGTTTCACAGTCATCTGGCAGGACGGTAGTACTTCCCTGGGTGGTTGCTGTCTACCAACCTACTACCTACTACCTGTGTGGTGATTGTGCATAGCAAAATCCTGCCTCATGTAGTGCATAATGGTAACAGTTAACCTATGACCCCATACTTGGGTTAAAATAGCAAATTTGAGGTAATTTCTATAGTAGTTTTCATGATTTTATTGGCTGTCTTCATACCAACTGATAGGCTAAAAGACATATTAGTGAAATGGAGATGATTTTGGTCAGTTTCAGATCAGAAGTCTGAAATTGGCTTCAAAATGGCAGAGGTATTCAATTTTGGGTAATTTTTCTGAGGAAGGACAGGCATTCCCTTTCCAAACCCATCCCCCATCCCTCTCCCTGGTCTGTTTTATTGTTTTACTGGGCCTACTTCATTATCTGGATGGCCTAAGCCACCACCAGACATTCTTGGCTATTTTATTAGCCGAGAAACAAAGAAAAATTCAATTTTTTGTGTGATGATGGACTCAAAATGGTAGGCAAGTGTTATATAAGAGAGGCTTTGAGACATAATTAATGAACAGAGGAAGGGTTGCTTTAGTGGCCAAAATACCTAGTTTGTTTTTAAATTGAAATTTATTGAATTTTGTGTAAAACCGTCCACATTACCAAATTCTGGGTGCTTCATAAGATAGTTTTTAATAGTTGAATAGGTTATTTCTTGCACTGAATCAATAGTAAAGAAGCCATTCTAGCAAAATAGCTAGAAATTGAGTTGGTTTATGCACTTGAATTGGCCAAAAATAGGCCTCAAAGTGGGTGAAATCGTGTGTAAAGTGCTCCCCCAACCTCCAATTTTGCATATGTGTAATTCCATAAATTTTTAATCATTTTTTTAATTTTTGATGCCATTACCTTTAGAAAAAATATTCTCCACCATTTTAGAAGCTTAATCTTTTTTTTTTTTAAATTATGGCACTGACAGGACTTAATTTTTCAGGGTCATGACAGTGAAAGGTTAAGGAAGAAAATATAAAATATATTGTTTGAGGTAACATACTTCAGAAGTCATAAAATTTAGGCAACAGTAAAATTAAATTAATCTTAAAAACATCTTGTCTTCCACAGGCAGTCATTGCTGGACTGCCTACTTGAAATTCTAACCATTATTTATCCATTTTCATTCATCTATGAGCTTTACTATCATAGTCATCAGTTAGAGAAATCATATAGTATTTGTAAGGGTATGGAATTGTGTGTTTTAAACCAGGTTCAAAAGAAATGTCATCATCCACATCATAAGTCTATTCCACATCTACAAAGAGCTCATGTTGAATATCAATTATGACATTACATAAAAACTAGATTTTCTAATATGCTATAAAATTGTTGGTTAGAAAATTATACATTTTTTAAATTAAAAAACTATACAATTTTTTTAAAATTTAAAAATCATACAATTTTTATACCTTTTTAACTAATGATGGTATTTTTTATGTTTCTTAATTATTTATGGCCAGGGATCTCAAAACCTGGAAGTGGCCCAGACCACTAAGCTCTCCTATGTACAGGTTATTAGTGTATTGCTCTGAGAGAGCCTGTGTAACATTATCCCAATACAGGAGGTAGAAGACCAACTTGTAAGACTATCCTGTTGTTGTTAAAAAGCAAGTACTGTAGTCTAGTAAAATCTTGATATATTGAGCCCTCGTGTAAATGATTTCAGATATAACAGACAAAAAATTATGTAAATGATTTCAGATAAAACAGACAAAAATATTTCATTGGAAATATGTTTGATACAACAGATTAAGTCTTCTACATAGAGACTTTGTCTATTAGAGATAGTGTGTGTCCAGCAGGCTCCCCATTCAACAGGCCAAGTCTGTTACCAGTAGTGTGTCTTGTATGCTCTCCATACAATGGACCAAGTCCACTGCATTGAGATTTTGTCCAGTAGCACTGGACAATGGACTATGTCCAGTGCACAAGGCATTCTGATATGGCAGATTTTCGTTTAAGTGGACAGCTCCTTCCCTCTTTTAGTGCATTATATCAAGATTTAATTGACAAATTTTTTTGCACTACATGTGACTTAGCTTCTAATATTTTACTCACTTAATCCCAGTTAAGGTGAACACTAACAAAAAATTGAATGGCAAAGCTTCTGATAACCTAAAAATAAAGAGAAATGTATATGGTCTTCACAACCTAGATGGTTGACATCCTGATACTTACTGCATGCTCCAGGATAGCATGGCTCATTTCATGTGCAAGGACAACAGCCACCTGGTCATCATTCTCAAGAACATCCATCATCCCTCGAAACATGACAATGTCACCACTCTAAACAAAATACAGTATTAAACATCAGTTATTTAAGATTACTATATTTACTCTTAAGTCTAATTAAAATCATTAATTAAAATGTACTTTTTAGGTAGATCTTGCAGTCTTGCTTGTAAAGCAATGACTATTTTGCCAAGCAAGCTGAATGTAAATTCATTATTGCAATGACTCTACAAAAGTTAGTGTAAACATCACAAAATTAATATATTTCATTGATATTAAAAAATGCTACTAAATTTATGTTGACCTAAGATAGGTTAAGTAGGATTTGATTAAATTATATTAGTAGATTAATTTTACCAAAGATATGTTTCCATGAATCCCTTCACAAAATGTTACCCTGCTCACACTCCAACAGCTAGACTCTGGAACTAGACTATTTAATTCAAGTAGGAATGGTTTATAACTGTATTATTGGGCATTAAGCATAGAACATCATCCACATATCTGTACCATTTAGCTTTACCAGGAATAATTCTATTAAATAGTACAGATATGTGTGGACAATGTTCTATACTCAAAAGTCCTTCAACAGCATCAAGCTACCCCCTTGAAAAGTAAAAAGGAGAGATAAAATCCTATCAGAAACAGGGTACTTAAAGAACAATACAATAAAAACGAAGGTAACATAAAAAACTGAGTTATGTTTAAATATTACACAATGTTCTGTGTGTTTAGTGGTAACTAGATGATCACAGAATTAGTATGACCTACCGGCAGGACAAAGCAGTTGACCATGGGATCATCAATAACAGTAACAGTCCATTCTTTAGTGTATAGTTGGGGAATGGTATTGTTTGCCTGCAATATTCGGTTACCAACCCTTCTTACTTGCTCAACCAGTGGGTGATTTTGTGGGAGCATTAGATGACTAAACTGTGCTATTTCCTGCCAAAATTTGTGATTAAATAATAAAAATATTGTAATGTGTTAATTACTCAGACAATTTTATATGAAAGTAATTTTAAAACAATTTGCATGTATTAATATTCTGATATGAAAAACAGCATATACAATACTGTAATTGAAAAAATAAAATGTTAATCTCTTAGGGTGATGTTTATAAACTTCCTCCAAGTATCAGCAAGGGATTCCCAAAATAATGATGCAAGTCTAATAATAAAAAGGGAATAAGAATGAAGAATGGTAATCAAAAAGCAATACATATTGAAATCTAACATTTTAACCTTTTTTTTTTTTTCAACAAGTCGGCCGTCTCCCACCGAAGCAGGGTAACCCAAAAAGAAAGAAAATTCCCCAAAAAAGAAAATACTTTCATCATCATTCATACGTAATTATTGTTTTTGCAGAGGCGCTCAGATACGACAGTTTAGAAGTCCCTCTAAAGTGCAGGCATTGTACTTCCCATTAACAGGACTCAAGTCTGGCTAACCAACCGGTTTCTCTGAATTCCTTTACAAAATATTACCCTGCTCACACTCCAACAGCTTGTCAGGACCCAAAAACCATTCGCCTCCATTCACTCACACACGCCTGCTGGAAGTCCAAGCCCCTCGCCCACAAAAACCTCCTTTACCCCCTCCCTCCAACCTTTTCAGGGACGACCCCTACCCTGCCTTCCTTCTCCTACAGATTTATACACTCTCCAAGTCATTTTACTTTGTTTCATTCTCTCTAAATGACCAAACCACCTCAACAGCCCCTCTTCAGCCCTCTAACTAATACTTTTACTGTGGATTGATATTTACCACCAGTAAATTGTATTTCAAATGTAAACAGTTAATTAAATTGAAAACTGCCAAGGTTGCAGAAGGTTGAGGTGAAGTTAGATCACCAGGGCTCACACCTACCATGACTTATTCTTGTTAATTTTCACCATCAAACTTTGATGAACTAGATAATAAGCTGAGTGAGTTTCTTCAAGTACTTTACAGTCATGAGTGTAGATTTATTTTGGGAAGTGTGTGAATGATTTTAGTTTGTTGCATATTTAGCTTAACAAACTTGTAACTATTTAAGACAATGTTGTGTGATAAATGTTGTAATGCCACTGAAAACTTGGGGTGTCATTCAGAAACTGACCCAAGATCTGACCCTGGTGTATCTGGGAAATTAGAGAGTGCACTATCCTGGATTATGTACTAATCACTCTGAAACATTTCTTGACAATCCTATATTATACAGTTTAAATTTTATGAATGAGAATGCTGTAATAAGTTAAAATTTACTGTGTAGCACTTGCATTCATATTAAAATGATAAATCAAAGAATTTCAACTCTCATAATAACTAATAATATTCATTCTCATTATAAGAAGCAGGTGCCTATACACCACAACTAGGACAGTAAACAAGAAAATGCAAACCATTTCAATCACATGAGATGAAGAATAAATTAAGATTTTGGTCACATCTGACTTAAAATTATCATGAAAAGTATCTGAACTATTTTATTAAGTGACAATTTCATAAAATTCATGAAATTTCCATTATGAATAAACTATTACTTTGTGATGGGTACAAAAATATAGAAAGGAGTATAAAATACAAGAAAATTACTAAAATTAGTTTGATTACCATTTCATAAGTGTGTTGAGCAATAGTGAAAAGTTGATCTGATGTAAATATCATAAATCTTCGACGTCCGCTAAAAGGAGTAGTGGTCATGTGACTCTCATAATAAGTGTAACCCATAAAACCAAGCAAAGTTGATCCACCTGTAGAAAATTAATGTTAATTAAATGAAAAGTAAAACAAAGTGAAATGTGATATACCCTATTATTTATATATTTACCATCAAAGGTACCACTAAGTAATAAGAGAATATTTGACCATGTATACAATACTGTTTGTACAAATTCCATGAAGAAAATAAGTTAAAACAGTTAAAACAGTACAGTATTTTATTACATTACGTATTTCCCTTTGTAAGGTTGAGCTCATACAGTATCAAAATAAATATAATCTACTTACCTATATAGCGAATTTTATTGCGGATAAAATGTTGGATAAATATCTCTCTCTTCTGCTTTGGTAAAGCCTGCCACCATTTTCTGAAACCACGACCCACCAAGACCGCTAGCATTTTGCTTATAGGTCGTAGAATTGCCACTAATACAGGATTTACATACCGAGGTCTGGAAACAAATAATAGTCACTTTCATGAGCAAAGATGACAAACAATAAGTCTACATTTGTTAAAGCTGTAGCATTAAAACATATAAGCAACACTTATGCAATAACACCAAAAAATGTTGAATTTATAAACACCACAATTTTCCCTCCAACATATTTGATGTTGAGCATTATCAGTACTGTATAAAATTTAGAAGTTGAGATGAAGTTCATGTAATTTTGCAGTGGAGAAACATTAGTTCCATGAAGATTGACTGGCACCAATTTTTTTGTCAAAATTAAACTCTGTAAGAATAAATAATTCACATCTTTCAGAAATAAGCTCCCTTGAATAATTTTCCAATTTTTTTTAAAGTTAAAGGTCAGAATGAATATCCACCATTTGGCAAGTATAGTATTTTATAATTCCCCCTCCTGAAATATGTAGGTACAGTTGTTATATTTTTTATAACACTTTATAAAAAATAAACACTTTATTAATATGTATACATCAAAGAAAGAGGGTTTGGTTATTTTTCATTAAAATAAAAGCATGATACCATACGTAAAGTACTGTATTAGGGAAATATTCTGTAAAACACAATTAAATTATATAAGGAATATGTATTATTGTTTGGGAACATTCAGTGTGTCCAATTATAACTTGGGCGTCTTTTCAAATTACAAGTGATTTGCAAAAGCGCATCTAGCTCATTAGTTGGGGACTACCTATACTGCATTCATTTCAATTATTCCTTTTTCACAACCCATTCTACAATTAGAAATTCAGTACATAAGGTTCTCGCTAATTTCTTCATGGAGTCAATGGATGCAAGCTCATTTGTTAACATCCATACCACTAGCACTTGGCTGAGCAACTATTATTGCCTTCAGATGATTCAAATTAAAGCACTTAATGATGGTGAAAGTATTTCTTTTTCAGGTCACCTGCCTCAGTAGAAGACAGCCAGAGTGTTAAAAAAAATAATAATGTCATAGGTTAGAACAAGATAAAATAATAATCAGAAAGACACAGACATGGAAGAAAATGCTTAATGGTTGTATTAATTCAGATTTTGTAATACAGAAAGTAACCAAGGAGCATTTAACATCACTAATACCTTGCAAAATTGCTACTGTCTGTCCAGAGCCAAACTATCTAGTAGTAAACTTAATGCAACAAAGCCCAAGTAAATATGCACATTATCTACTTAATCCTCCACCACCTAATCCTCTTCAATCCATTTATTCCTCTCCATAAATGATATGGCAATACGTGCTCGTATTTTGCAGTTGCTTCTGCCAACTCGATGAAACTCCTTATGAGCAAAATGTTGTCTATAATACATGTAAAAGCTCATCCTCATGTGGTTCTTTTATTTCATAATGTACTCCCACCATATTTACCAATTTTGGGTTTATGGATTTTTACCTTTCATGAGATATACATTCAGTATTATTTTCCTTTAACAATAGCTGGATTTCAGATCTGTAACTCATTTTTAACATTATGGCATCAACTGCAGGCTAGTCTACTATAACAGTTTACATTATTATTATTATAATCAAGGGGGAAGCGCTAAACCCGGAGGATTATACAGCGCCTGGGAGAGGGGATGTGGAAGGCATTCAGGCTTAATTCGGGGAACTGGAGCACAGATCCAATTCCCTAAATCAAGAGCCCCTCACCAACATCAAGGAACCTTCCTTGAGGGGATAACAGTTTACAAATAAAAATTCCGTATCTGCAATTCGAAATCCTCGTGCATTTGTAGGGAGATGGAGTATTATCATTTTACACTGCATCTTGAGAAACATACCCTGAATTCAAACATAGTAAGGTTTAAGCCACAGACCTCAAAATATATCTCACAATTTGCAAGCAACAATTCAAATTATTCAGACAATGAAACTAGTCCAAAAATAAAATATTACATGACAAATGTAAACGAACTACTACTGTATATGTACGTATACTAGACATAATGAAATAATTAATGAGTTTGGAATATTACCTTGTTGTGTGTAATTTTCTTATAGGTTGTAATAAACCCACATTGCCTTGCTGTTGCAAAAGTGTTGGCCATTTTGACTTTCTGCAAACACTTAATACAGATTTACTATAAAATAAAGCATATTTATTTATATGTAAATTACAGACCCAGAGTTGTTTCAAGTTTGATTTCACTATGACTCCACATCTTGCTGACCAGGATAACAGCATTTCATTAGTAAGACCTGCAATAGAAATTATACAGAATGTTAGAATGAACTAATCTACAGTATCTAAGACAGAAAAAAACAGACAGCATAAAATCACTGACTATTTTATTAAAGTGATTACTTCCATAGCAGCTAGTAATATTGCCATAGCTGTGGGTGGTGGGTGGAGCCTGTCTTTATACTGAATTTAACATATAGCAGCAGTTACAACCTTATATGTCGAGGTTTCAGTTTGAGGTGAAAGTGTTGTGATACAAGCCACAATGTTCTCATGGGAAAATATCACAGGTACAGCACCTCATGGATTAGTACAGGCAGGCCCTGTTTTACAGTGCTTTGCTTCACAGCATTTCACTAATATGTACAGCAGTTTTCAACTATACTCATTCTTCATTTATTCAGACTTCTACAATAAATATATCCATCACTCACTATAAGCTAAGGACAAAAATATTTTAAGGTAAGTAATGTGTGTACTGTATGTGCATTTTTTAGGTCTAGCTATCTTGCTCACTTAATATATGATAGTGTAAACATGTTATCATGCTTTTATAGGCATTTGAAAGTGATAAAAGCTGATTCACTTTACAGCAATTTTTTTCTTTACAGCGGCAGTCCGGAACCTAAACTGCTGTATAAGCAGGGCCATCCTGTACAATTCTTTGTCACTTACAGTAAGCTAACCTTAGTTACATTTATGAATTATATACAGCATTAACACTGTTACCTTGAGTTTCGGCCACCCCGGGTTTCAGCCATTTAGAGTTTCGGTCATTTTTTTTCGGCTAAATTATGTCTTGAGTTTCAAACAGTAACTTGAGTTTCAGCTGTTGTACCAGGCCTGTATTTATAATTGTTTTGTTTGTAAAACTATAGTTATTCTTTAAAAATGTATTTTTTTTAATATTTTTGGGTGTCTGGAACGGATTAATTGGATTTACACATTATTTCTTATGGGTAATATTGCTTTGACTTTCGAACAATTTGAGTTTCGACTGAGTTTCTGGAACAGATTACGGCCGAAACTCGAGTAACACTGTATAAGATGTTGTTGAATATTACACACTGTGGTATCAATGTTAATAAATAAAACACACTGTGTAAATGAGATACCTAAGTCTTTATTTTGATAAGTATTATACAAACTGGTATAACATTTGCATTGGTGAATGCCAAGATAGAACATACTTTCAGTTAATACAAATATTAAAACAGATATGCAATAATCAGAACATCAATAAGAATGTTAATATTTAAATCAACAGGGTTGCTATTATGACTCAAAATCATAATAACCAAATTCAACTGAGCAGCTGCTCTCTATACAGTTTTCTAGTACCTATAGTAAGTGGTCAGGCCTCAAACACGTTTCATCATACAGCAAAAAAGGAGAGGAACGAATTGCTTAAACATGTCAAGGCCAGTCATAACATGAACCAGTTCAGGAAGAGAACTAAATGGTTCCTAATAAATGAAGCTGCTACAGAAAGGGAAGCGAGTGATTTCTTGTATAGTTAACATTCATGTATCTATTGTCAGGGGTGGATCTAGTATGAAACTAATGAAGCTTAAGCTTCAGGGCCCCTAATCCTGGAGGACCCCAGATTGCTTAAAAATTCTGGGTCTACTGTATGAGAAGGGATTGCAAAGGGGCCCCCATAACAGTTCAAGCTCCAGGGCCCTGAAAATGTAGGTCCTCCACTGCCTGTTGTATTATTATTATTATTATAATCAAAAAGAAGCGCTAAGCCACAAGGGCTATACAGCGACTGCCTGTTGTAGTAAGCTGATTTTTCTCTATTTAATTTTCATGCAAACATCTCAGTTCACCTTATTCCTATTGTATCTCTCTTTAATGTGGTTGATTTTCTTTCAGTTGAGTTACTCAATTGTTTAATGTTTAAAGAGAGCCCAATGGGAATATCCTACATTGATTGGCTTTACTGGATTATCTTGGGTTACAAACCCTTTGTGGTTATAATCTGAATTTAGATGATGTTATAAGCACAGCAAACAGCACATGTATATATTTAATCTAGGATTAACCAACAAAGTCAGTGTGACTTATTTCTGTTGGGAGGAAAAGTAACTAAATAAACTGCACGTAAAAGGAAGAATTATTATTGCATTTAAGGATAACACTAAAAACATGGAGGTCTACACAACACTTTGGGCCATCAGTTTCGATCCGAGGAAAGGGAGGTCAAGTCTTACACCTGGATCAAGAGCCTCATACCAGCATCAAGCAACCTTCCTTGAGGGGTATAGGTAAGGTTATTTAAGTACAGGTACACTCTTCATAGAATTGATGAGGGAAAAAAGGTGAGTGGTGCGTTGAGGTATATGTGGAGTCAAAAAACGTTATCTATGGAGGCAAAGAAGGGAATGTATGAAAGTATAGTAGTACCAACACTCTTATATGGGTGTGAAGCTTGGGTGGTAAATGCAGCAGCGAGGAGACGGTTGGAGGCAGCGGAGATGTCCTGTTTAAGGGCAATGTGTGGTGTAAATATTATGCAGAAAATTCGGAGTGTGGAAATTAGGAGAAGGTGTGGAGTTAATAAAAGTATTAGTCAGAGGGCAGAAGAGGGGTTGTTGAGGTGGTTTGGTCATTTAGAGAAATGGATCACAGTAGAATGACATGGAAAGCATATAAATCATGGGGAAAGGAAGGCGGGTAGGGGTCGCCCCTCGAAAGGGTTGGAGAGAGGGGGTAAAAAGGAGGTTTTGTGGTAAGGGGCTTGGAACTTCCAGCAAGCGTGCGTGAGCGTGTTAGATAGGAGTGAAGGGAAAGACGAATGGTACTTGGGACCTGACGATCTGTTGGAGTGTGAGCAGGGAAAATATTTAGTGAAGGGATTCAGGGAAAACCGGTTATTTCATATAGTCGGACTTGAGCCCTGGAAATGGGAAGTACAATGCCTGCACTTTAAAGGAGGGGTTTGGGATTTTTTGGCAGTTTGGAGGGATATGTTGTGTATCTTTATATGTTTATGCTTCTAGACTGTTGTATTCTGAGCACCTCTGCAAAAACAGTGATAATGTGCGAGTGTGGTGAAAAGTGTTAAATTGATAAATGAAAGTATTTTCTTTTTGGGGATTTTCTTTCTTTTTTGGGTCACCCTGCCTCGGTGGGAGACGGCCGACTTGTTGAAAAAAAAAAAAAAAAAAAAAAAAAAAACACTCTCAGGTCACTTGTTCTATCTAGGCTGGATATATTGCTGCACACTAACAGCACCTTTCAAGGCAGGTGAAATTGCCGACCTAGAAAATGTACAGAGACTTTCACGGCGCGCATAACGGAGATAAAACACCTCAATTATTGGGAGCGCTTGGGGTTTCCCTAAACCTGTATTCCCTGGAATGCAGGGGGGGAGAGATACATGATTATATACACCTGGAAAATCCTAGAGGGACTAGTACCCAACTTGCACACGAAAATCACCACTACGAAAGCAAAAGACTTGGCAGACGATGCACCATCCCCCCAATGAAAAAACAGGGGTGTCACTAGGGACGTTTAAGAGACCATACAATAAGTGTCAGGGCCCGGGGACTGTTCAACTGCCTCCCAGCACACATAAGGGGGATTACCAACAGACCCCTGGCAGTCTTCAAGCTGGCACTGGACAAGCACCTAAAGTCAGTTCCGGATCAGCCGGGCTGTGGCTCGTATGTTGGTTTGCGTGCAGCCAGCAGCAACAGCCTGGTTGATCAGGCTCTGATCCACCAGGAGGCCTGGTCTCAGACCGGGCCGCGGGGGCGTTGACCCCCGGAACTCTCTCCAGGTAAACTCCAGGTAAACACAAGTACATTTATACAAATTTAGGTGACTACAATTACCATACATAGTAACATGTATAAATTACCTAGAACCCCGGTGGCTAAAGCTCCCGCTTCACACACGGAGGGCCCGGGTTCGATTCCCGGCGGGTGGAAACATTCGACACGTTTCCTTACACCTGTTGTCCTGTTCACCTAGCAGCAAATAGGTACCTGGGTGTTAGTCGACTGGTGTGGGTCGCATCCTGGGGGACAAGATTAAGGACCCCAATGGAAATAAGTTACAGTCCTCGATGACGCACTGACTTTCTTGGGTTATCCTGGGTGGCTAACCCACCGGGGTTAAAAATCCGAACGAAATCTCTCTTAATTGAAATGTCCTGATTTTTTTTTTTTTGGGGGGGGGGGTTTATCCTAGGTAATTTATACAAATGTAACTATGTATGATAATCTGTGTAACTGTATTTATGTATACCTGTACCTAAATAAACTTACTTACCTAAACAAAGTTACTGAAACCCAGAAAAAAAGCCAGACGAAGTGTGGTAAGTAATCATCTAAGCCTAAGAAAACTTCTGATTAATGCAGTCTTTGTCACAAGATACTGCTATTATTAAAGGCTGTTGAAAAATAATATAATTGCCTGAATGCTCTGTATTAAAAGAAAAGACGTTGCACTAGAACACACAAGTGTTGCTGTGGGTTGTTAAGGGCCACAAAGTCTCCAGCTTATTGAATCCTGCTTCCCGGGAGTCCAGGGAAAATTTTACTCAAATCTGGGAGAGGAATAATAGAATTATAAAGGAAAAAGTTTCTTCTGGAAAGAGAAACAATATATTCTCATTTAGGTGATTAGTTTATACAGGATTATTATTATTATAATCAAAAAGAAGCGCTAAGCCACAAGGGCTATACAGCAGGAAATCTACAAATGATTTGTACAGCATTTTTTTTTTTTTTTAAGCTGTTAGTTTAATGTTTATTATGTACCCCAGAAGGGGCACTAAGGGCTGTGCGTCAAAGTTCGTACAGTAAAGCAGTTGCTGACACAGTGATTGTAAGTCAAAAGCAGGACCGTCTGGAAGAAGAAAAAGAAGAAAAAGATGATGATGATGATGATGATGATGATGATATCAATAATAATCTTTATTTACTACAAGTACATGTACAAGGTATACAGGCCTAGCTGACAATACTATATAGAAAGCCCCTTATGCTCCGCATGTCGGGCAAATCAGGTCAGTGTCCCAGGATGCGACCCACACCAGTCGACTAACACCCAGGTACCCATTTTACTGATGGGGAACATAAACAGGTGGAAAGAAACACGCCCAATGTTTCTACTCTGGCTGGGAATCGAACCCAGGCCCTCACCGTGTGAAGCGAGAGCGTTAACCACCCGGCCACCATTATTATTATAATAAAGAAGCGCTAAGCCACAAGGGTTATACAGCACCAGGCCACCAGATTGGTAGGATGGCGGTGACGTTGGAGAATAAAACCTCGAAGCAACTTCTGGTAAACGGGCATTGACAAAGAAGGATAAAGAACTAAATAGGGGACCGACAAACTTCATGGAGTGGAATAGGGTGTTGTTCCACGAGATACCCATGGGTAAGGCGAGTATGGCCAATGCAGAGCCAGAAGATCGCAGTCTCCCGAGTACGGCAACGGTGGTAAGATGGCCACAAACCTAAAAGTGGTTTAATAGTGTGCAATTTGTTATGGTGCATGTCCGACCACCGTTGTTGCCATTATTATAATCAAAAAGAAGCGCTAGGCCACAATAGCTATACAGCGCCGTTGTTGTCAACGGCTGCGAAGACGGGCCGAGATGACTGGAAAATCATCTCGAACGGAATACCTCTAAGAGGGAAGATTAATTATTATAATAAAAAAGAAGCTCTAAGCCACAAGGGCTATACAACGAGGGAAGATTAAGGGTGTTGGATTGTTATTATTAAAATCAAGGGGGAAGCGCTAAACCCGGAGGATTATACAGCGCCTGAGGGGGGGGATGTGGAAGGCATTCAGGCTTAATTCGGGGAACTGGAGCACAGATCCAATTCCCTAAATCAAGAGCCCCTCACCAACATCAAGGAACCTTCCTTGAGGGGGACGTGTTGGATTATTATTATTATAATCAAAAAGAAGCGCTAAGCCACAAGGACTATACAGCAATGGGGGGGGGACGTGTTGGAGGTAAATTATACATGCTCATTGATAAAACTACTTAGGGGGACATGCTAAACCCATAGGATTATTATAATCAAAAAGAAGCGCTAAGCCACAAGGGCTATATTATTATTATAATCAAGGGGGAAGCGCTGAACCCGGAGGATTATACAGCGCCTGGGGGGGGGGATATGGAAGGCATTCAGGCTTAATTTGGGGAACTGGAGCACAGATCCAATTCCCTAAATCAAGAGCCCCTCACCAACATCAAGGAACCTTCCTTGAGGGGCACAAGGGCTATAAAAGCTGTTGTTATTATAATCAAAAAAAAAGGGCCGAGCCACAAGGGCTATACAGCTAAATCCATAGGAATCACACAGTTTCTGGGATATGGGATAGAGTTCAATTGAAGGAAGTGGAAGAAAAGTCCAATTTCTTAGGTCAAGATCTCCCTCACCAGCATGGAGGAACCTTCCTCGAGGGATGGTGTGGAGACAACTTTACTCTTTATCAGCCCG